ATGTGGTGTGTGTGTGTGGGTGTTTCCTCAGCCCAGCCTGCACCTTCTCCAATCTGGGACATCCCTCTCACAATCCAGGACTGCTGGCTCCCAACCACTTGCCTTCCTGATTGCGCCTAACTGCTTCTGCTTGCCAGCCTGATCACCCTCTAACCACTCCTTTGCCAGCCTATCGATGCCTAAATGCTCCCTTGCTGGCCCGATTGATCCTAACTGCCCTCCTGGCCACCCCTAACTTCCCTCCCCTGCAGGCCTGGTCCTCCCCAACTGCCCTCCCCTGCAGGCCTGGTCTGCCCCTAACTGCCCTCCCTTGCAGGCCTGGTTGCTCCTAACTGCCCTCCCATGCAGGCCTGGTCACCCCCAACTGCCCTCCCCTGCTGGTCTGATTCTTCACAACTGCTCTCCCGTCGGCCATCTTGTGTCTACATGGGGGCGGCCATCTTGTGTGTTGGAGTGATGGTCAATTTGCATATTACTTTTTTATTAGATAGGATAGATGATGAAAAGAGAACTGTAAAAATGAATGAAGTAAAAACAGGACACCAAAAATGGTGTGATTTCTCATTCTGAATAAATATGTAAATCAAGCTGCTTACTTGAGAGTTTCTTGGATATTGAGCTATACCTGTAGTTTCTCCCCTGATTGTTATTCCCAGTGCCTTGCCCTGGGGAGCAGTAGAACTTTCTCTCTGAGTGCTGTTTATAAATTGGACTGGGACTGAAACTGCCAGGTGACTGGCTGCTGGAGACTACTCCCCTAACTCCCTCCCTACCTGAAGGGGAGAAAGGAGAAGGCCAATGCACTGGAGATGCAAATTAGAGAGAGGTCATGAATTGCTGCAGTGAGCACAAACTCTGCAGAGAGACCTGAATCCAAATCTGGACTCAGCAAATAACCAGCTTGGAATCAGCTGTGTCACTCAGGCAATCCCAGATGCTCTCTGAATTGGTCTGTGACCAAATAAGAAAAACTAGGACAATGTAATATAGTTTTTCATAACACTAAATTTGTCTTTGTTTTCCTGTGGTAATTATGATGTTCCTATTATACCTTTTGTGGTAACAATGTCCTTTATTTTATGAAAGGATGGCGATGATAGATTATAGTACCGTGTTTCCCCGAAAATAAGACATTCTCTGAAAATAAGACCTAGCATGGAAAGATAAGACATCCCCTGAAAATAAGACCTAGCGCAACTTTGGGAGAAAAAATTAATATAAGACACTGTCTTTTATTTTCGGGGAAACAGAGTAGTATATACAATAAATAGGTTCTTAACCTTAAGAAAATTAGATTTGCCATCTTATGTCTGGTCCTAATAGTCCCCTATACATAGACTTTCCTTTTTTTTTTTTTTTTTACTTGCCCATAATGTCCAAAAGTCTGGGAACTACTGACTTAGAAGTCTCACTTTCTCATCAATAAAATAGGAGATGAAAAACTCTTTTGCAGAGTTGGTGTGCAGTGATGATGAAATATAAAAAGCATCATCAGATAATAAAACACCTTCAGAGCTTTATTATTATAAAACATTGACTACTTGACCTGAAGGTTTATTCAATAACATCCATATCCAGGCAGTCTAGCACAATCATCAAAAAGCAAGCTCTAAGATCAAACAGCTGGATTTAAATCCTGGCTTTGCCACTGCTAGCTCTGTGATCCTGAGTAAGTCAGAGTAAGTTATAATCTCATCACTAAAGTGGGGTTGATAAACAACAGGACCTACCAAATAGGGCTTTTATAAGATTTAACTTAGAAAATCCAAGTAATATGCTTATCACAGTGCCCTCTAAGTGCTCTACACTTCTTAAACTAAGCAGCATTGTTAATATTACTAATAGGTGGTCAGAAGTGCTTTCTAAATGCTTGTTAGTGTCCGCATTCTAATGTGAAGTTTATGTGTAATACTTTAATCAATAAAAAAAAGAATTAAAAAAAGAGGCTATGAGGATAATCAGGGTTAATATTTATTTAAACTATTTCAAATTAAATCTCCAGGTCAAGAATGAGAATTTGGATGACATACAGATGCAGGAATCATCAAATGTCATCCTAAACAATATCTAAAAAAATCAATATTTTCATTGCTTTTGAAAAATTTTTATATTGATCAAAGGAGGTATAATATACAGTCATATAATGAAAATAGTGATTTTCAAATAAAATAGCGTTTAATAAAAAAACCTTTTTATAAGACCAAATGTAAGTTTTATATTTATTATGAATTTATTCCGCTAATATTTTCCTTAGTAAACTGTAGGTTTTAGTGTTATTTATATTTTAAAATATGACTAAGTTTTTCTGAAATTCACCAACATAAATTAGAATTTATTTTAGTTTATATAAGAGTTAATTTATAAAAGAAATTCTGAAATGATACATGGGTTTTTCCTTTATAAAATTTATTGTGTTTTTTATATTTAAAAAGACAATAACATTATACATAAACACCTCCTAATGGAGAAATCCATTAGCAGTTCTTTCACAGGAGTAACTATTGAGTATGTTTTAATTCTCAAGAGAATGAAGAATGTCAATAAAAGCATAGCCCAACATTTCCTATTAATGCATGGTAAAAGGTTGTAACAGAATTTCTGGTCTCTATGTCTAACTTTAATTCTTTATAACTACCATAAAACTGTCAGATATAGGTTACAAAATTAGAGCTCACAGTTATTTAAATGTCCAATGTTAAAAGATAGTTAAACTGTTTTTTCTGTATTTCTGTAAACCATGTAACATAGCAACATGTAACAACTAGTTATACAATAGATTATATATTTATCTACCTTTCGTGTAATTTCTATAACTAGCATGTGTATATATATATGTATATATACACATGTAATTTCATAATAGATTATATATTTATCTTTTGTGTAACTACTATTACTCACATTATGTGTAGATGTGTGAGTTTTATTATCATAAAAAGCTTGACTACTTGACCTGAAGGTTTATTCAATAATATCAATATCCAGGCAAGTCTAGCACAATCATCAAAAAGCAAGCTCTGGGATCAAACAGCTGGATTTAAATCCTGGCTTTGCTACTGCTAGCTCTGTGATCCTGAGTAAGTCAGAGTAAGTTACAATCTCATCACTAAAGTGGGGTTGATAAACAACAGGACCTACCAAATAGAGCTTTTATAAGATTTAACTTAGGTAATCCAAGTAATATGCTCATTATTAGATGTGTGAATATACATATATTTATACGAAACTATATGTATATATGAAACAACTTTATCTTCTCTACCTTCCAGATGCTTGGCAACTAAAGAGAAAAACTTTCGAGTGAAACATTGCCATTAGTTTTACAGGGTGATGTAGGGACTGGAGCTATTAAGATTACCGGGTTTGAACGCAGGTTTTGTCCTTTAAAACCTGTAATCTTGGGCAAATTAACCTTCCTACTAGCCCTTAGTTTCTTCATTTGTAAACTGGACAGAATAACAGTACCATCTCAAAGTGTAATTTGGAAACAATTCATGTGGAGAACAATGTGTGCTTCTATTGTTACTGTCATCAATTGCAAAACAAAGAGGGACTGCCGCAACTCCCTTTATGAAATCAGACATAAAACGACTTCTGTAGGAAAGCACTTCTGTTGAGATTTATTATTTTGATTAGCCTCTCACGAAAGGGCAACACAAGTGTTCTAGAATTATCTTCGGAATCAAGGAAGTCAAACCCAAGCCCACGAATGGAACCACACACAAGCAGAGATGGTTATCACCAGCGTCAAACACCTGCCAACCCTGGTCCACAGATGCCATTTCACAGGAATGGGCAGAACCGGTGCGATCTTAGAACTTTCCAGGCTGCAGCAAACTTCCTTTCAGTGAAGAACGAACGAACACACACACACACACACACACACACACACACACACACACACACCCCTCATCGTTAACTCACCTCTGCAGAAAAAGAGGTCAATTTGCCAAAGAGGTTCGGAGTCTCAGAACCGGTCTTTAAAGGGCGCGGGAGGAGGGAGAGATGCTCGCGTTTTGGAGGCCACAGGGCCTCGCTCAGGCGCGGGAAAGGATCGCCCGGGGGCCAGCGAGTCGAGAAACGGGGCAAGTCACGCCCCCAAAACCGGGCCCCGGGGAAGAGTGGTGGGTCCGCCGGGAAAGAGCGATGGGTCGGCCGGGGAAGAGCGGTGGCTCCGCGACCCGGCCGTTCCCCACCCCACCCCACCCCACCCCTCTTCCCCCCTACCACCCCCTCCCCGCCCTCAGCGAACCCCTTCCCTTCACCCGCCTCCCCAACCGCCAAGCGGGGACCTCGCCGGCCGCACGCGCAGAAGCCAGCCGGCGGCGGTCAGGCTCGGCTTCCCGGGCCCGGCGGCAAGAGGCCGACGCCCGCTCGCCTCCCGGAGCCCCAGCCGGCCCGCCACGCCGAGCCTCCGCACGGAGCCTTACCCGCCGTCCCGCTCCGCGACAGGTGGTGCTGCCGGCAGAGGCCGCGGACCTGCCCCCGCCCGGGCGATGATCAGCTCCGGCCCGGCCCTCCCCTTCGCCGGGTCTCTCGGAGGCAGCGCCAGCTCAGGTGCGGGGCGGCGGCAGGCGGCGGCGAGTCCCGGAGCCGGCTGGCCCTGAAGTCGCGCCGGGAGAGGACGGGATCCGGGAGCTGGAGGGACCCGGAGGAGGACCGGCGGGCCCCATGGGCGGAGACTGACGGGCGCCCGGGCCAATGCGGAGGCAGGAAGTCGGCCCCGGGGGGCGGGGCTCCGCCTCGGGGCTCGGCGGCCGCGCGTTCCGTTCCTGCCTCGCAGCGCCTTCCTGCGCGGGGATCCCCCCAAGTTACTGCTTTTGAGGCCCAGCGCGCGCCCTGTGGACTTGGTCCCCAGGAATGTGAGGGGTTGTCGTGTAGATGAGAACGAGTCCGGAGATAGTGGCGACGCCCGCCGCTCGACCACAGAACCGGACCTCGCATCCCAGGGCGGGCGGGCGGGCGGGCGGGGCTGTCGCTGGGGATGGCTGCTCGGCCGCGCGAGGAGAGGCTCTGCGCCTGCGCGGCGGGCCGGCGTGGTCGGTGGGTACCAGTCTCCCAGCCCCGCTGCGGGAGGCGCTTGGGAGGCCGGGAGCCTGGGGCCACCCTGGACAGCCAGCCGGGGGTGGGCGAGGATGGAGGATGGAGGAGGTGGGTACAGGTCAGGGAATGGGGGGGCGCGAGAGCGGGGACCCAGGAAGTGCGGAGCCTCTGCACTGGAGGAAGGAAGGCTGTCTGTTCCTGGGCTGTGTGTGTGTGTGTGTGTGTGTGTGTGTGTGTGTGTGTGTGTGTGTCTAGAACTCGCTCTTCGCCAGGCGCCACCGCTGCTGGCACCGTTATTGGCCAGTAGGGAACTGACAAATGATCTCCTAGCATCACAGTCACCTTAAACAGATAGTCAACATCCTCACCCAGGAAAGCAACAGGACGCTAAATGGCCATGTTGAAATGGGTCCTGGCCAGGTAACTCAGTTGGTTGGAGCATCCTCCCAATATGCCAGGGCTGTAGGTTGTCCATCAGGGCACATTCAAGAATCAACCAATGAATGCATAAATAAATAGAACAACAAATCTCTTGCGCGCAAAATAAATTGAAATTTAAAAAGAAGCAGGAACCATAAGTTGATACAACTAGACCCAACCACGGTTATGATATTGGAAGATATTTCTTTACTCTTAACTCCTTTTTTTTTCCTTCAGAAAACGTTATAAAAAATACTTGAATTTATGTACTCTTAAAGAATAGTGATGATAATTTAAAAAACATGTAAAGGATGAAAAAGGAGGCAAGGCAAATGGAATAAGAAAACTGAAAGTGATGGAAATGTAAAACAAAATTGCGTGGAGTTAGAGAAAAGTGACTTGTCCCGTCCTAAAGACTTTGACAATTATGTACATCTGGAGCGACACTGACCGTCTGAGGATGGTAGGGTGGGGCACGTTTGTGAACACTGTAGTTAGATGATAAATGATAGGTATGGCTGCTTTAACCACTGCAGTTAAAGAGGGACTATAAATGAGCATGACCTACAATAACCTTGCACGCCAGAAATTGTCATGATGCAGGAAGCTGAATGAGGAACTTCAAATGTTACATTATAAAGGCTTCATTGATGGAGGTTAAAGTATCTTGTCTTTGAAAGACAGTTTGTTCTACTTTAGAATAATTCCAAGTTTAAGGGTTGTAGAGAGCTATCATGGGTGGGAATTATTTTGGTTAAATTGAGGTCAATTCCTTCCTAAATGAAATATCTGTTAATGTCAAGGAGGCAGACTCTATTTGGCTGGTCCACCCCATTCTTTTTTTTAATTTTTAAAAATATATTTTTATTGATTTCAAAAAGGAAGGGAGAGGAAGAGAGGTATCGAAACATCAATAATGAGAGGGAATCGTTGATTCACTGCCTCCTGCATGCCCCCACTGGGGACCCAGCAGGAAACCCAGGCATGGGCATATGCCCTTGACTAGAATAGAACCTGGAACTCTTCAGTCTGCAGGCCAGTGCTCTATCCACTGAGCCAAACCGGCTAGGGTTCACTTGTTATTCTTAGTCACTTTGGTGGTTGGTCTGATTTGTTCAGGGACCAAGCCTGGTGCCTGTTTCCTACCCCCAGTTCTCTGTGGACTTGGACCTTGGCACCTTGTTTGACATGACCCCCTTTTTTACGTACATCCTTTCAGGAAGAGCCTGTGTCTTCTTTCTGGCTCAGTAATTGTCTGCACGGCTGTTTTGACAGCTCGGCAAGGCCTGGTGAGCCACATTCTGGCACAGAGGAGGGCACCAAGGAAGAAGCCTGTAGGGAAGTCATTGGGTCCACAGCTGTTTCAGGGGCATTTACTTCGAAAGAAACAGCAGTGCACAATGCAAATGGTTCCTTGTATACATTAATCCATGCGGGGAGGTGTGTGAGTACCTTGCTCTAGCTTAATGAAGTTCTACATGTGTAAGCCCTGGTGTAGTCATCGTCCAGACTGAGATAAAGAAAATTCCCTGTGCCTCTTTTTATTGCCCCCTACCCACTAAAGCTAGCGCCTTTACTGACTAATGCTGGAAGCTCAGGGGAAGGACTCGGGTATGGGTCCGTTTGCATGAGTCCTGCATCACTGGGAGTGGAGGCTGCTGTCTCAGGCTTTGCCTACAGTTTGGCTGGTCCATCTGTGAAGTGGGAGGGGCCTTGAAGGGCAGGCTGCTAAGGCATACCTGGACACGTGACTTCCCTGTAAAACTCTAATGAGCAGAGTCTAAAGTGGCCTCTATGCCAGATATCTCAAGTTGGGAACACATTCACTTACCTTTCTCAAACTCAAAGGAACATGTGTGGAAAACTTCCATATCAATTGCCATAAAAATAGGGCAGTTTTTTTTTGTTTTGTTTTTTTTAATCCAAACATAACAGTGTGTTTCCTTGAGGAAAGTCCATATTATTGAGTTTCAGAGAATTATGGAAGGTCATTCTCTTTGTAAGGAGAGTGTATGAGAATAGAATTATTTGCTTTAGGTTGACACATCATTTATAGCAAAAACAGAGTGTACTAATCACATGTTTAGACTTACACAACTCCATCTGCCTTAGAATAGAAAACATTAATAATGAATGCTGACTGCACCACGGTGAATTGTCCTCCAATAAAGTAGGGTCATTAAAAATGCAAACTCTTTAAAAATACAAGAGAAAGTAAACAGTATATCTAAAGGCATTTGTGCTAAATACTGCAGAAGCAAAACTCCTGTCAGCCTAGGGTGGAAGTGAGACATGAAAGCATTTGATGTAGGTGAGTACTATCATTAAAAAACAATAATGTTTTTGTTATTCCCAAAATGCAATGAAGTGTTAATGATGATAATTACCGCCAAAGAAGTAGTAACAATTCTTTATATAATTAAAATAAATATAACTTTTTAGGCTATCTAGAAGTGTAAACTAATACCATAGTAAGCAATGTCTTTATTAACAAAATATTTTAAGGAAAGTTCTAGATATTTTTGTGAAGAACAAAGAATTTAATATCATAGGTTTATTAATAATAGAACTTTAACTGTTCAAGGAAAAATAACACTTTGATATTTATAGATAATATTGTACCACACTTGATTTTTTTTTCTAGGACTTTTAGGTAACCTGGAAAGAGTAAGGCAAAAATTTACTAGCATCATGTCATTGTGGAAATAATATTTTTCACTTTTGGTCTTGCTAAGGAGAGCCTGGGTTGCTTGGTGTTATTTATAACCAAACCCTAGTCCTGACTCTATTATTGTCTATAAGCCCTTAAGAGAAGATTCAAGGAACAGCAACCCTGGTATTGTTAATGGAGATGATGGACCATGGTTCTTACTACCGGTAGGTGTACCGGTTAATGCGGATTCTTTTCAATACATGGAATTACACATACATTGGTATGCAATTTGATATGTATGCTATTTTGTTGTATTGACGACAAGCTTCAAAACTTCATATGTCAAATTTGCTGAAGGTGTTAACATCATAGATATTTTTATGCTTAAAAAGGTTGAATTTCATGCCAAAAAAAAGCATTTGCAGGAAGTTTTAATTCATTATTTTAAAGAAAAGTGCTGCTGAATACTTTGGGAAGCTTATGGTAAACATGCTCCATCTCAAGACACTTATGAATGCTGGCTTAAACGCTTTAAAAGTGATGATTTCAATGTGAAAGACAAAGAGCACCCAGGTCAACCGAAAAAGTTTGAAGATCAACAATTACAAGCATTATTGGATGAAGATGCGTGTCAAACTCAAAAACAATTTGCAGAAGACTAAACCTTGCTCAGCAAATTTCTGATCATTTACAAGCAATGGGAAAGATTCTAAAGGAAGGAAAATGGGTACCACAACAATTGAACGAAAGACAAATGGGAAAACCGAAAAGTTATCAGTAAAAAGGGCACAAAAGAAAGTTTTTTGCATTGAATTGTGACTGGCGATGTAAAGTGGATTTATTTTGAGAATCCCAAATGCACAAAACCATGGGTTGATCCAGGTCAACCATCAATATCAACTGCAAGGCCAAATCACTTTTTTTTTTTTAATAATAAATCTTTATTGTTCATATTATTACAAAAGTTCCTCATTTTCCCCCCTCCACCAGGTTCCCACCCCACCCTCTGCCCTTTCCCCACCCCCCATTGTCCTCATCCATAGGTGCACAGTTTATGTTCAGTCTCTTCCTATACCCCCTTCTCCCCCTTTCCCCAAGAATCGTCAGTCCACTCCCCTTCTATACCTCTGATTCTATTATATTCACCAGTTAATATTGTTCATAAGATTTTTTTTTAATTCCCTTGGTTTTTAGATTCACGTGTTGATAGTTACATATTTGTTGTTCATAGTTTTTATCTTTATTTACTTTCTCTTCTGAAAGAACCCCCTTCAGCAATTCATATAATTCTGGTTTGGCTGTGATGAACTCCTTTAGCTTTTTTTTTTATTAGTGAAGCTCTTTATCTGGCCTTTGATTCTGAGTGATAGCTTTGCTGGGTAGATTATTTTTGGCTGTAGGTTCTTGCTATTCATTAACTTGAATATTTCTTGCCATTCGCGTCTGGCCTGCATGGTTTCTGTTGAGAAATCAGCTGACAATCGTTTGGGTGCTCCTTTATAGGTAACTACCTGCTTTGCTCTTGCTGCTTTTAATATTCTCTCTTTGTCTTTTGCTCTTGGAATTTTAATTATGATGTGTCTTGGTGTGATCTTCTTTGGATTCCTTTTGTTTGGAGTTCTGTGCGCTTCCTGGACTTGTAAGTCTAATTCTTTCACCAGGTGGGGGAAGTTTTCTGTCACTATTTCTTTCAGTATGTTTTCGATATCTTGCTCTCTCTCATCTTCTGGGACCCCCATAATTCTGATGTTGGTTCGCTTGAAGTTATTCCAGAGGTTTCTTAAATCATCTTCAACTTTATGGATTCTCTTGACTTCTTGCTTCTGTGGAGGAGTATCTTCTGGCTCTTTATGTTCCAAATCTTTGACTTGATTCTTGCGATCTTCCATTTTGTTTTTAGGACTCTGTATAATATTTTTTATTTCAGACAATGTATTCTTTATTTCTTGTTGATCCCTTATTAGTTCTTGTTGATCCCTTATTAGTTCTTGTTGATCCCTTTTCATCTCCTCATAGGTCTTATCAACCTTTTCTA